ACGCTCTTTCTAATATTTACAGATCTGCTTGTTTGCATTTCATGAATCTTACCTTTTTTTTTGGAGACTAAGCAATAACTCAAAATAATTATTATCAGGACCAGTAACAATGGTCCTGCTACTGCTCCTGAAAAGAAATTAAAAAGATAAGTTATTTAGCAGGTTGATCTGACAACTGATCTAATTAGAAAGAGGTAGTTTTGTAGTTTCTGTCCATGGCTACAAAAGCTAAATTTAGAATTATCAGGTGTGCGTGACATTCATATTCGGTGCCTCTATTGTCAGATACCAAGGTCTCATTTCAGTATCCACCACTTCACAAAATTGAATTTTCCTGTCCTGAAAAGTGAGAACAGACTTTTTGTGTAAGTCACAAAAGATTTCTCTCCAGGCTAGCAGTTTGTTAAATACAAGGCCAGGCAGTCCAGAATGTTCCTAAACACCTATGCCTTCTGGATCGGTTGTGATCAGGAGAGAATACATCCACACTTGTGAATGCTATAAGGACATCCTGTCTCAGGAAAGGCTGCCAGAAGTCTCCAAAGACCTCTCACCAGGCAGTTTATGAAATCAAGCTTGCCTCAGTCCAGAATCTGAGATGCAACCTTTTCTACCAGCTCCTTCGTATTAGCGGTTTTAAGGAAATGCCTTGTATAATCTAGTTTGGGGATTTGTAGAAATATTTCCAGAATTACAAAGACTACAGAATGCACTGGGATGGTACAGATGCATAGATAAATAGTATGCACCTTACTACAAGCAGTGTCATATTGAATTAATTCAGCTGTTCTAAGGTTCTGCCTGGTACAGGCAATTGGTCTTGGAAAGAAACTGAAAACTGAATACAAACTTGCTTCCTAGCCAGATAAATGTGATTTTAAATGAGTTAATAGCTCACCAATGATCTGAGACATGTCAGAGTTTAATGTGACAGATCGAGTTATTATTTCAGGTTTGCTGGAGGCTGCGCTTTGAGTCAAGAGCAAGTTCAAAATAGTGTGAGGTAGAACTGTGGCAACCACTGATCCTGAGTCACTGCAAACAGTGTCATTCGTGCTGTTTCCAGGAACAGCCACTGATTTACAACTGTGAAAAAAAAAAAAAAAACAAAAAGAGAAGTTAGGAAAGAAAGCAACCCTGCTCACAGTTAAGGTTGCAATTAGACAGAAACACTGGCTTACACTGTATGGGGTATACAGCTGGTATCGTAAGATTCCTCACGTGAAAACGTGCCAGGGGGACAAGGTTTACATTCTGTATCTGTGCTGTCTGTCCCTTTAAACACATAGAAAAACTCTAGTTAGTCATCTAGTGAGAAACAAGAATGAATAATCAAGGTCTGCGGTACAGATCCTGGAAGTGATAGAGAGGCAGTACACAAAATGCAGCATTTAACTGTCACAGAACAGATTAATTTGAAACACTCAACCCAAACACAAATCAGAAGATTAATCAGCTGTTAGCTTTGTGCCCTTGATAGTCAGTCTTTTTCAAAGACTGTAAAAACCCACCAAAAGGTTAAAATGTGTTACTGCAGACAGAGCTGAGCTTTTTCACTAGTCCCTGACAGCCTGACCACCTATGCCATTCTGTTGGAGTTCTGTATGTTTCCAAATTACTCTTTATTTCTTACAAATATCCAATGTTCCACCTCTTTGAATATTATTGATCATCTTGAGACAGCTACATTGTCAGAGTGGTGACTTTCATCACCTAATGAAGACAGATTAATTCAGCGGGATAGCATAGAGTCATATTATTTACCCTAGGCAAATTCAACCTGAAGCTCTGTTTCGAGGATTTAAGCAGGAATTAAGTGGTCTTGAATCTGAGTTACTTGTATGGAAGAAATCATATGGTAGAGCAAAAGAAAGGAAGATTAAGTTGGACTGAGGAACTTTATGATATCTGGTAGTAACAGATTGCAACATGTCCCTTTGGATATGCCCCCTGAGAAAACTGTTGTTTTAATTACTGCCCACTTGCCAAGATAATGCTTGCACTTAAAAAGAACGCATAACTGTAGGGAATTAAAAGACAATATTCCTGTAATTTATGGAATTGGAGGCAGATTCAGAAGTATTTATGGACTATTGATGCAAAAAGTAACCCTCTTTATACAGTAAAACTATTCTGTGTGCAGAGTGTTCAGAATTTAATTACCTCTTCTGGAAACTCGATAACCTTTTCCACATTTTTTATGCACCTTACATATTGTGCAGTACTCGTATATTCTCGAAATGCAGTACTCATTGGGTGGACAGCTACAGATTCTGTCCTGTGATGTAGTGCATGTTTGATTCTGCACAAATCCTGTTTTTAAAACAAGAATAAGGCAATATGTTGTCAGTAACATTTAAAACCACAGCCTGCAATGTTTCAAGTGAATATGAGGTGATGATCACGTATCACAAACTGAAGACAATTTTGCAGCTTCTGGCTAGTATACCATCATAAAACAAGTATGTTATATGCCCCAACATCTACATTTTCTGGAGAGTTTCCTCTCTCTAGGAAAGGAGAAATTTGCATCTGTAGAATTCACACTTGAAACTCTGTACGTGCCATTGCATTGTATGGTATCACAACCATAAATACGCACATTTGTGTTACCGTGCTCATCACTGCAGTATCTGGGGGGCACACTAAGATTCGCAGTCTATGCAGATCATACAACTATATTTAAAGTGATTGGAGACCTTACTACAGACATCTTCATACTGTAATTAATCAACTTTGTACGATTATTTATTTAGATGAGACCAAAGGTCCTTTGAACAACTTAGCCTGTATCCTTAGAACTGTACCAAAAGCATGAGAATGGGACTATACAAGTGACAGACAAAACCTCCTAGTTTTCTTAGGAGAAACGACCTAGGTTAAATCAAGTCCACTTTTTGAGCAGGCTGTTAAAGTCACAAATGCCTTTTCAATAATTCAGGCCTACCTTTCCTGCAGGGTGGCAAGCAGGCAAAGCACTGGGGAGACCGATTCCAGATTGCTGTGTATGTGTTGGGTCTACAAGGACTGCACTTTGTGTCCACAGTGTGACTGCAGCTCTCCGTCTTAAACTGACCTAGTAAAGAAACGAAACAAAACATTTATTTATGTTAAAATAAAACCAAACCAAAACATTTATATTATTCTGAAAAATTAAAATTAAGGGGAAGTAGACTGAAAGAAAAAGGTGTTACCTATGAATTATCATCTTTCATCCAATGTGTTTTAAACAAAGGAAGTTTGACAAATCTCTCTAGACATTTTCGGTTCATTTAACCAACTGTGGCTGCTTCAGCATAAACTGATTTCCTGCGTAAACTTCCGGATCTCCCTGACAAGAACTCAGCATTTATTGAGACAAATTTTGTTTGCTCAGCATGTAATGAAAAAAAGAAAGCAGTTTTCTGCTGTGTCTAATATATTAATATCACAAGTTTCTGCAAATGAATCAAAACTCTATTACTAAAATATCCAAACAACATTACAATCTCCCCCTAGAAAAACCCCCACACAACCACCTTTCTGCAGTCAACAGCTTTTGCTAACAAAAGATCACTAGTCATCATCACTGCAGTGTAAGACATAACACCTCAAAGCAGGCAGTTTCTGTAGACTCATATCCAGCCTCTGATAGTGGTCTGCAGATATACAGTAAAATACAACAAAACTCCCTTAATGAGCAATTACAGACTAACCTGTCCAATGGAAATCTCCTTATATAAGTTATATTTTCAAAGTACAGAAACTAAGCTCTACCTCAAGCCCTGTTTCACAATATATTTGCTATTAGTGGGCTTGGGTCTGACAGGCGTTGCCTAATTTTTGTAATTCCCTTGGTGAGCTGCTGCTTCCCCCCAGATGTTGACTTAAAAGTACTTCAATCAAGATACCATGCAAACCTGTGCTTACAAGAGCTCAGCAACCTATCTCCTGGCAAGCCCCAGCCAGGTTAACCTTGTAAGAGAATTCTAATTCTGATGAACAATGTGTCTCTCCTGCAGATATTCTTACAGTCACAGCATTTTATTGTCTTCCAGCCAGAGGGCATTACAACAGCAAAATTCCAATGCTCTTCAGATGTATAAATAATCAGAATGTACTATGTTTATCTGCAAATTGACTGAATTTGGCTGTGAAAAGTAATAGGTTGAACTATAACCCACCTGGAGGGCACTGGCTGCAACATTTATTAAGTCTTTCTTCATAGAATTCAGTGAGGGGATCTTTGCATTGAGCAGACTGTGGTGTATAAGGCAATGAATATTCCTAGGAGAAATTAAAGGAAAATCATGAGTCATAAGTTCATTCTGACCCTAAATCAGAGATTCAAAAGAGACAAACACTTAAAAGATCAGTGCAATTATAACCACCTTTGTTGCCAAGGCCTGATGAAACAGAAAGCAGCAGATGCCAAAAAGTTGACGAATACACAGCTTAGAAGCTACTTGAGACCATTTAGAGGTTCCTCTGTTTTCCAAAGATCTGTCACAATGAACAAAGTGATTTCTCCAGGTTTTAGATTCAAAAGAATGCAATGGAACTGTGGATTAACATCACACCTGGTCACTACTGCATCCCCTAAACCAAAGGGCTAAGTACATATTCTCAGTTGCCACAATTCAAACAACCTTTGACAAAATGCCAGTGAAACCTAAATTCTTACCTGTGGGCTTATGGGGAAGAAGCATTTTCTGCCAAGTGGCTACATTGAAAGTGATACTTTCTTATTTAGTAGGTCTACTCTCTACACAAATTTAGAGCCCTTTCTGAAAACTAGAAGATGGACTTTGCTACTTATTAATTCCCTCAGGTCTCCTGAGCTGGTAGAAGAAAGAAAGGGTTGGTTTTTTTATCATTCCAGATACTGTGTGATTCCTTTCTGAATGAGAAAGGCCTTGATGTTTAGAAAACAATGTCTCCAAAACCTGCTGCTTCTGAAAAGGAGCAACCGAGTAAAAGACTTAAATAAAAATAAAAAGCCTGCTTCATATGGCAGGTCAAATGCATAAGAAATAGTAATGAAATACAGTGCACCTAATTTTCAGCTCATACCAATCAACACAGCTCAGTGACTTTAGCGAACAAGTGTCAAAATATTTGAGGACCTGCCATCTGTTTTCAAAGGGAAAAACATACTCACTCAAAAGAAAAAGGCTAATGTTAGGTAGTTCAAGCGTAGGAGTTTCCTGGTAGATGAGAAAGACGCTGTTCAAAAGCATGTGATGCTGCTCAATTTTCTACACTCTGAAGAGATTGCTACATGTATAATCTACACACATTTAGAGAAGTACTTAAAAAGTACTATTAAAAAGAGAAATCAAAACAGGAACAAAGCCGTTTGGAGAGCAGTAATTAAAATATCCTTCCTCCTTACTGAAAAAACATGTTGATTATCTACTGTGTCTTCACATCACTGACAAAGTAGCTTAACACTTCCCACTCTCAACAATTACTTAAAGGGAAGCCAACATTTTTTTATACAGTTTGTTGATATATTTTACCTCTTTATCTAGCTGTACATCAGAAACAGGATTTCATCCAAATACTCAGTGGTCAGTGTCAAAAAGAACCTTTCCTGAGAATGTGAAGGCTGAGAAAGACCTCCCTGAGTTTCAATAGTCATTCCAGAAAAGAAAAAAGGAAAGCAAACTATATAAGTGGAAGTTTCACTGCTTCTATTTAAAATGATCTCCTCTGATCAGTCAGGTGAGTTAAAGACTCAGAACTAGGGAGACTGTGGATGGGTTTCACCAATACCATCCTCATTCTCTCTCAGCCAGATCAACAGCAACAGTCAAGTTGTAAACTGAGGAACAAACTTATAAAGATGCCTCTAACAGGCTAGAAACTGTGATAGGGTGGGGAAGGATGAAAAAAACCAAACTATTCCCCTTCTTAAACACTAGAGCAGGTGAAGCAAGAAACAGCTGCTGAGCACAAGCTGCATTTTTCATATTCTGCTCTTCTGATGTCTTTTGATGAGAAGAAAGCCAGTTTTGCAGGAACCATGCTGCAGCCTCAAATATCTCCAGAATCTATTTTGGCCTCCATTTTTGCTTTCCAGTAAAAGGAGCTTATTTAAAGGAGGCTTGCACAAGGACTGGTGACTTTGAAGTAAAGCCAGAACACTGGCTCTAGCATTATCGGTTTCATCATTATTGATGAGAAAAATAACCATAATAATTCAAAAAGAAAACCAAGGTTTTTCAATACCTTCTACAGGAGGGTAGAGGTTCCACTTAAATTTGAGAAGAAACTTCTTCTCAGTGAGGGTGACAGAGCACTGGACCAGGCTGCCCAGAGAGGCTGTGGAGTCTCCTTCTCTGCAGACATTCAAAACCCGCCTGGACGCCTTCCTGTGTAACCTCATCTGGGTGTTCCTGCTCCGGCAGGGGATTGGACTGGATGAGCTTTTGAGGTCCCTTCCAATCCCTAACGTTCTGTGATTAAGTGATTCTGTGACCTTCTAGGTTCAGTAATAACATTTAATACTGGACTTGGTATTACACCCTCATAGGATGGGGCAATGATAAACCACACCATTTGCAAATGTGAGCTGACACTAAAATCTGAAGAAGAAAAGGGCTCTGCTCTCAAAAGCTTGAGGTTTTTTTAAGTTACTTTCTTGTTTATTAAAAGAATAATGATCAAGTGTCACCATCACATTTTGGCAGTTATTATGATCAACTTCATTAAAACAAGCACTTGAGAGTCTTTTTAAAATGCAAAACTTCACTGAAAGAGCAGATACAGGGGAAAAAAATAAAAAAAGGGGGGAAGATACACAATAAACCACATCACAAGTTATCCTGCTGGTGAGGCTTCCTGGCAAAAAATGTTCTTATCTCATCCTCTGCATTGTCTGTTTTAAGTATGTGAGTTAAAGGCACAGGAAAACCTGTTGATTGATGGGTTCAAATCTATTTCTCTTAAGCTGTGCTTGAAAGGGTACATCTACTGTCTGATACAATCTCCCTGAAATTTTATCTGATGAGCTGTGGCTCTCAATGACATACAATTGACATTTTCTTGCCAACTGTCCTCAAAAAACATTATGGAAAACTGAAAGGGACTTATAACTCACTTAGATACAGTTTATACACACTCACGAGCTCAGCTTTGTTTGTACTGGACGGATGCCATTAATTTTAATAGTTACTTTCAGTGTAAGTAGTTTAATCAAAGCTGTTAGTGCCAGCAGTCTGTGCCAGCAACCTCCTGCTATGTCAGAGAAAGTGTAGGGCTCTTACTGGGTATAAAACTCTCCTGGATTGCCTGGCTACAAGAAGACCACACTTTTTCTAGCTGTCTCACCAATTTTAAGGCCTGAGTTGGGCACTACAATATTTGCTGCCCAAAACAAAACCCTCCGACATCCTGACCCATTGGCTACTTTGGGCTGAAACACGGATCAGTAGGGGCCAGATATTTTTCAACAATCTTTACATTTTGTTACTTTTTGTATCTCTCCTAAATCCTCATTTTGTCTTCTGCTTTTCTGTGATTCAATGTTCTGCAAGTGTATTGTGTGAAGGAAAACTAACCTGATGCTGCATTTTTGCGTTATAGCCTTAGAACTCCTCACAATAGATAGTGGTGTCTACTGGTAGCACACTTTTAAGATATTTATATGGTCAAAATGAAGACTTTGGAAGATTTCATTTAATTTGACAGGTACAAGTAGAAGTAAAATGCCTCATCTATCTAGTAGCAGAGGCACACACATTGTTAAGCAAATTAAGCAATATATTTTGGCATAGAAATGAGTAAACTGTGCTTGCCTTTGACTACACAACTCATGAGGGAGATTTTTGCAATCCTTTTGTATTAAGCAATAACTAAGAAGTTACATCCAAGAAGTCAATGACTTGAGATTCTCTCTCTGCAGTTCCTGCATTGAAAATTCAATCATTTTCCCATCTGCACCACAAATATCCAGTAGATAGGTGACCTGATTTGTTACTGGAGAGTAGTGGGTTAACAGCAGCCTTCGTACCAACTAAGAGGTTAGTACAGACTCTTCTAAATACATAAGCACAAGCACAATTGTTTACGAGATTCCCTGTATCCTACTCACTGGAAGGTAAAACTAGCAGAGAACATGCCTGTATGTCATGATTTTCAGGCCTGCAGCTGTATCTGTGCTGTGTGGAACAGCATCAGCAGGGCAAAAGGGCCTGTGGGCTGCCCCTTCCCATGCAGTCGTACAGAGAGTGGCCACAGCCGAGACCCTGATGTCTGTGCCAGAGCTGAGCTCGAGTCATGAACTACAAAACAAGATTTGGATTCAGACTTCTTCAGAATTAGAAGGGCTTCATCCAATGCACCAACCTGGCTCTACCGATTGGTGAGGATTTCCAGGTCTCAACTACCCGCATCACAGTGTAATGCATTCCCTATGTGCTGAATATTAATTATAATGAACATAACTTCCTTTAACCCCTGCTTTACAGCTTGTTCCTGTATTCTTGGGCTTTATGTGTAATTAAATTTAAGTATCTTCAATAATAGAAACAAAACACGCTAATACAATGGATGAATACATATATATATTAATCCATTCACATAGCATTCATTTTCACTCAATGAGGCCTTTCAAACAAAAATATTTAACCATGCATTTTAACCCTAACTCGCAAGTCTACATTTTTATTGTCTCTTTTTCATACAGTTGCCTTCTTCAAACTCAAGCTGTCAAACAAAGAAGTCTGAGCAGGAACTACATCTGGTGTATGATGCTCTTTACGCACATGAAACCACAATGAAGTCACCAAGGTCTCTGATGTAAAAACCTGTTGCTATGGAAATGACTTGAGGTAAAAAGATGATGTTTGCTGAGCGACCAAACCTGCTGAAGGCAGGAAAAACCAGAATTCTGTTTAAAATATTTAAACTGGTCATTGACAAAAATAATTCTATTTAAGATTACTTATCAGATAACAGCAAGTCGAATAAAAATCAGCTGGAGTTGTATCAGGCTGTACCAACTGTACTCAAACTATAAAGCTTATTTCAAAGGTGTGTTCCTTTGAACAAATATATCTCTAAAATTATGAGTCCATGATGTGATTTGTTCTCCCATCTTATATTGTACTTTACTTCTGTAAAGCAGGAGTCTTTGCAGAGCCACAGACTCCACAACTCTTCTTTGGTTTGTCACAATGAGAAAAGTGATGCTGAAAGTTTCTTTCATGATTTCCATCATTACGTTTAGGGTGAAAGGAAAGTTAATTCCTTTCAAATCAAAGCCCTTTGGTCAGCAAGAAGAATGACAAAACTTTACACTTAAATTCTGCGGATAAGGTCTGCTACAATTCTGAGACTTTCCCTCTTTCAACTGCCCTAATGTATCCACTCCAAGGTGTTCAGTGAATCAGGTTCAAAATACTATCACCTTACAAACCATGGCTGAAATCAAAGTGAGGGAGAAGCCATTAAAATAATTAATTTAATAGATTATCAACCCACTATAGCACCCAGTATTCCTTAAAAGACCACTGTGTAAGTCTGGGCTCAATACACATTTTGACATCCTCACCTGATTTCCATGAACCTTTGCCTTACCGAGGCTCAATTAATATGATTAAACAAACATGCAAGTAACACACATATCCCATGAAAAAGCAATGACCTGGACATCTTAGGAGCTTTTCCATATTTATTTTTACAACCCAGGACACTTTAAAATCAGATAGAAAAATGCTATCAATATACCAGTACAGCAAAACAGATCCCATCAAGCTCTTTGGTTTAAAACAATTAAAAGCATTCATTGCCAAATAGCGGTACAGTTGGATATAAAAGAGAACAGTCACAGCTGCATCACATCAGGTCTTAGATGTAAATTAAAAAGCTTTTCTATGTAAATAGGGAATAGTTTGAGGGATCCAACGGAGCGCAACAAGCTTTTCCTGTTTAAACAACGCTGTAAATGCATACAGATTTACACTCTGCACTTGCCAGGACACTCACAGTTTTTGCAAATACTCAACCAAGCCTGAAAAATCAACCTATTTCCAATGAAAATCCAGGAAAAACTATTAGTCATTGCTCTGGGAAGCCAGGAAATAACAAAGGAGCCAAAGGAGCAGGATGAGCTTTAAAGAGGTCTAAGAGTGGGACTTGAAGCTCCTGCAGAGCTCACACCGAGTTCAGTACAAGCAGAGGGAGACAGACAGGCAACCCCAGGGACGGCAAGCACAACAGGAAAGCGATGCCCGCTTGCATTACACCTCTGCAGGCACAACGGTGCAAGGATGCCCACTCGCATGGCACCATGCACTCCGCAGCCGTCACCATTCCGCTTTTTTTTTAAAAGCCACTGGGTACCGCAGAGCGGCGGCGGCCCCCTCACTTCCCCCCGGCCACGCACCGCGGCGGCTCCCCGCGACCCCGCACTCACCCGGCCGCCCACGGCGTGGAGGAGCGCGGCGAGGAGCGCCCAGCGCAGCCCCA